ATAGGGATTGAATCCCTATTCTGAATGATTGTATATATATTGTGTATACCTTTCCACTGAATGTAAATATGTTTGGAAAGTCTTTTTGCATGCAGACTGTCACAACTCATTGGGCATTTGTTTCTTTACTGTTTTGGCTTCCGCCAGGCCTTGTACTCTGTTTTACTATACTACTGTTAAGCAGGCCTTCGGTAATCTTGGATTACTGGCCGGTTACGGTGCTAAACCCATAGGGTCGTGTTTGGGTCGTGACAATTACCACGCTTGAGTGGACCGCGCGAACACAGATTCTTGGATTTCTATAAGGAATTAGTTTTCTTCCAAAACTAGGATTACTGTGGATTTCTATAAGTAGTTGGTTTTTCTCCCAAAACTTGGAAAAGTCCTCCAGATCTTCTTTTTGGATTCTAAGGTTTATATCTGAGGATATTTTGCTAGTTTTCTTTGATGTTTTCATCAAATATTCAACTCATGGTTTAAACAGTATACATCAAAAGTTTGTTTGTTCATTCTACACAAAAAAGAGAGTTGTTCTTCGGTGGATTCTGAAGAATTTGTGCCTGAAGCTTTGGTGGATTCCGGAGTGGCTCATCGTCAAGACAATTTCGAGGTGAAAACGGGGTTGGAAGAGGCACATAGAGGTTGGTTCAATTCGAGCGTGGATTCGCTAGGTAATTGAGAGTATACCTGTGTAATTCCTTTATATCTTCTTAGTGGATTATTTTGTGGCTGTTGCCCGTGATTTTTTTTATCACAATTGGAGGTGTCCAATTGTGGTTTTTTTCATGTAAAATCGTTGTGTCGTTTTGTCTTGATTGTTTAATTGGGATTGTTATATACTGCTTAAAATTGATACATAATCACAAATCAACATCTAGGGGATTTCTAGATTTTTCACCAACTTTTTATCAAAAAAAGTTGGGTAGAGAGACCCTTAGATCCTAGGGGATTTGTAAAGAGAAGTTGAGTTTTAGAGAGAGAAGGAATTGATCTAAAGTTTTTGTGTGAAAAGATATAAAATTTTTGTGTAAAAATGAGTTGCTGCGAATTGATATACGCGAGGCTCGCTCAAGCGAAAGAGTTGTCGCTCGAGCGACCAGACATAATAAGTGACCTCGCTCGAGCGCAAAATACACACCTTCAGAAGTTTTACAGACGCACACCGTCACTCAAGCGTAAGAAGCTTCGCTCGAGCGAAGAACATTACCCTCCCAGAATCTCTGTAGGTCTGCAAAAGTGCTGGGAACTCACAAAGCTCGCTCGAGCACAAGAAGCCTCACTCGAGCAAAGAAGCAAATTTCTGGACAACAATAACTTGAATAACTAGCAACCAATTTGTCCCAAACATGCCCAAGACACTCCAAAACTCCAACTCAAAGACAAATGAGAGAAAACAATACATGAGTAACAATATTAAACCATGAAAGCCGAGTCCAGAATATAACAAAAGTTGGGTCAAATCGGAATCTCCATAATGTGCTTCGAAGCTTACAAAATTATGACAAAAGGGCATTCGAAGCAACTTTTGACCAATATTGTGGTTATTCAAATTTATATGTTCTACTTCACACATAATTAATGAAAATCATGGTTTTAAAAACTAGACTGGACCGGCCGGTTCAACCGGTTGAATCGCCGACCGGTCGAGGTTCCGGTCCGGATACATCCACTGAACTGGTCATAGTGGAAAACCGGCCTATTTTGGAAGAACCGAAAAAACCAGCGGTCGAACCGCCGAGCAGGTCGACCCGGTTCCGGTTCACCAGGTTGTGAAAATGAATTTTTTGTTTTTTTTTTCTTTTTTTATTCTTTATTTATTTTCTTTCTTTCTTATTATATTATAAATATCTATATAATAAGGAAAGAGGGTTTTTGAATTTATCCTAGAGACAATTGTCCTACTAGGATATTTTAAGGGTCATGATTCATTTATGCTTGAAGATGGATGGTAGAGATGAAAACCTTCTCACTCACTCTACCTGAACTTCCTGCTTAAGAGCCACATACTTTACAACCACTCATCCTCATCTGTCGCACCTCACTTTTCCAAATTTCAAATTTCAAAACACACCCATCCACTCCCTACAGAAGAGAGACCCACGCTCATCAAACTCTTTCCTCTTTCATCTCTGTCCAAATCAAAAATATTAGGACAAATATTTAAGATAATTTAATATTTTTAATTTATAATTTTATTACTTATATTTTTATTTAAATATAATTTTAATATATTAATTACGTCACGGTTCGATTCCGGTTCAACCGGTGACCCGTCCACCCGATCTCTTTTCCAGTTCCCTCACCGGTCCGGTTTTTAAAATATTGATGAAAATATTAATTTTGTGCTTCGAACCAATTGTTAATTCTTTGAAGACACCAAAGCTATTGTTCTTCAAACCAACTTTTGTAGAATACTAGTTTCATTTTCATGTAACAAATGGCTATAAAAATTGCTATTAGTAAAGCCACTGTTGGTTTGGGGTGTCCTAAAAAAGTGCACTTTTTGTCTTTTTACGAAAAGATGTGCAGAAAAGTAGAGAGGTGATGTGATAGAAAAAAGATAAAAAGATAAAAAGATAGATTATATAGTAGATGCCAAACCAATGCAAAAAATATGCATTATTCAACAATTAATTAATTGCCATTTTACATATATTTGAAATGAAGTACACATTTCGAAAGTTTTCTCGTCCCATGTTGCATTTTGAAGGTGTTTATTGATGACAAAACCACCCCTTTGAAAGTCACATATGTTTCTAAAGGATCAAAGTCGTCTTTTGAAAGTGCACACGACATCTCTTCGAACCAAATCCAAAGAATTGGATTACTATGAAATTAGTTTGGCATTTTAACTAGCCATTGATGGCTATAAAATGATATTTCAATGAATAATATATTTCGAAGTGTCTTGGGACATGCTTCGAAGGTAACCACAAAACCAAATTGTGATAGTTTTATGAATCAACTAAAAACCATGTTTTTGGCCCAATATATTACAATAACGAAATATTATTTGTTAGCCATTCCATCAAAGTCAACGTTTGATGTGATCCACAAATCCAAAATGGACTTCGAATGACAAAAGTCATGGTATAATGTGACCATGAAAATTCATACTTTTTGACACTTTGAAAAATGTCAAAAATTTTGAATTCATGAACAGTGACTTGTTCATTATTCTTGACTATGTTTGTTTTAAAAACATAACTTTCGCCGAATTGATTTTCATAATTATTTGGCAAAGTGGGTTGTTTTTCCATGTTAACCATTAATGGCTTTTGAAAATCACCCATATGTTATTTTTATAACTTGACTCTCTAAAAATTGATTTTTGGACCCCCCGAGCCATGCATGAAACTTCATTCTTAGCCAAATCTGGCTCAAGAACATACTCATTTGTTATGTTAATTTCATAATTTGGTTCTTTAAAAACGGGCTCTTGAACCCCCCAAGCCATTGATGAAATTATATTTTCATTAATTTCAGTCACAAATGACTTGAAAACATTTTGTAAAACCTCATAAAATTCAATCATTGAAGACTTGACAAGAAGGGTTGATAACTCATGTCTCCATTGGCAAATTCTCATATTAAGTTGATGAATTATTTCAATTAAATAATGTATTTTTTCTTCTACCAAACAATATCATAATGGATGGAAGTTTGTTTCATCAAGAAAATTGATCTATTCTTGAAGATCCAAAACTTTTTGTTTACGCCAAAATATTTCATCTATGCTATTTTAGAATGGATGAATTCAATTTATTTTTCATTTCTTATCCTTGACGTCCCACTGGGGCGTACCAAAAATTGTTGGCTTATTTTTCCTATGAAGGAAAATACCATAAATGCGAGCGTGCCAACAAGGATTAAAAAATCCTTACAAATTAAATTCAAGCCAATTATCAAGTGATTGCGTTGATAGTTCTTTTGCCTCAACAGAGAGAACTTCAAAATTGCCAAGTATAGAGAAAAAAAATAAAAAGGAGAATGAGGGAGACGGAGAAAGATGATTGAGTGAGCAATCAAAATAATAATTACTTATCTATACTCCTATGCTTCGAAAATGAAGTGCATAAAATGTTTTGAAAAGGAAATGTTAAAAATAAATGTTTCAAAATATAAATCTGTGTTAAACTACTCCTAAGATAAGGAAAATGACAATAAATATTGAAATCAATTGTATTTTATTTGACTTCTGAATCTTTTACAATATAGCCATGAATGGCTATTTATAAGCAAATATTTGTAGAAAAAAACTACCTAAAATTACCCGCTCTTCGACCTCCTCCACTTCATACTACATGATCTTTCATAACTTTTTTCAACTTCCACTTCATGCTCCATGTTTTCTACTTTATTTTCCATCATCTTTTCACATTTCATAACTTCTCATAACCTCTAAATGAGTAGGAGCATGCCACATGTCCTGTAATTATATAAATAATAAATAATAATAATTACAGATTTATGGTGCCAAAGGATACATCTAAAAAAATAAAAAAAAAATTACTTAAAATTTAAAAAATATTCACTAAAAAAAAATCAACCTTGCTTCATACACCCAGTGGGGGTCGCGCCCCCAGTGACGTGGCGCGCCCCCACTGATCGGAAATCAAAAAAAAAAAAAACTGTTTTTTCCGGACCAACCCCCAGTTGACACCTCACTGGGTGTCACCCCCAGCTGGGGGTAGGAAGCATTTTTCAAAAAAAATATATGAAAGATAAAAAACTCATTTAAAAAAAATTAAATTTATAAAATTGAAATCGAACATCACTCCAAAGATATGATGTGATAATTTATAACAAATAAATAAATAATTGTTTATTAGATTGTTGTGAAACCACCCTAAAGCACTCCAAATCAAATGGATTGTTTATTTAATTTTCTTTTACTAGTTAAAAAAAAGGAATAGGAAGCCCCCAGCACGGCGATCCACGAGATCGGTGCACCTTCTCACTGAACCCAAAATTTAAACGAAAAAACGCAATTCAAATTGAAACGAACTCCCAACGGTCAAATCATTCGAAACTCTACTGTCTTTAACCAACCAACCAACGCTCTCTCTCCTCTTTCATCCTTCTTTTTCTGCAATTCCAACACCTCTCTCTCTCTCTCTCTCTCTCTCTCTGCATTCTCTGTTTGTGGGGAGACTCAAAATGACTTCTTTAGACAAACCCAAAACATCCACAATGTCCACTCCAGCAAAACCCTCTCAATCAAATTCCAATTCCATCTCAAAAGTTAGGGTTGTTGTCAGGATTCGCCCCTTTCTCCCCCATGAAATCGCTGCCAGAAATGGAAACTCCACCCCTTGCGTCTCTGTTCTTGACTCAGAACTCGAATCTGACCACGAAGTCACTGTTCATCTCAAAGATCAAGAAACCAGGTTAGAAATTTCATTTGTTCTATTTATGAACACAATTTGTTTGGAATTTTAGTCAAGGGTTTTTATATTCTTGTTTTGTGTTTTGTGGGTCTAGTCGGAACGAGTGCTACAAGTTGGATTCATTTTTTGGCCAAGACGACAACAATGTGAGTAAGATTTTCTACAGAGAAGTCAGCCATTTGATTCCCGGGATGTTTCGCGGCTGCAATGCTACTGTCTTCGCCTACGGGGCTACTGGAAGTGGAAAAACCTACACCATGCAGGTCTTATTTGAATTTAACTTTTAAATGCCCTTATTTTGATTGAACTTAAAATGCTTTCTTTTTGTTTTGGTAATTTATTTAGATCTTTGAAACTAAAAATGCATCTTGTTTCACCATCGTCTAGTTTGTAAGAGTTTGTTGTTAAGTACGTTAATTTAAGATACGAGTAAAGTGTACTAAATCCATGTAATTCAAAGGTTATAACTCTATTGAACTAGAGCAACTCCAACTGACTCTCTATATTGTGCTTGTTAGGCATTTTACCTAGCTAAGTCACAATTTCAATGCTCGCTAGGCAATACACTAGGTATTATGCCTTGTCTGCAATGGGGCTAGCTACAAATGGAGAGCCAAGAGAGACTAGACAAAAAAAAGTCTTGTTGGAGTACACGTTAGCTAAAGTGATTAGGCAAAATGAAGAGTGTATTTTTTTGTTCACTTTTGATAAGCACAATGCCTCGTAATGTTGGAGTAGCTTAAGGATGCATGACTAGCTTGCATTGTTTTGAAAAGTTGCTAGAGAAGTTGTTGATGTGGTCCAACAACTTTTTCACAAATTTAATGCATTCACATGTTTGTTCATTCACGAATTGGAAGTGTTCACGATTCATCTACACAAGTTATTCTTATGTCATAAGAATAGTTGTAATGACCTTGTCCCATACTACTGTGCATGGAGTCTCCCAAATCCAAAAAAAAAAACAAAACAAAAATGTATGAGTGAGCTGAGATAAAATAAAAAAATAAAAAAAATAAGACAAAAAGTTACGTACATTTATTTCTCTCTTCTTTGGTGCAAGGTTTGCCTCCTACCCATCAAGTAGCAGCTTTTCTAAAAGTGTAATCTCAACAAAATCTTGGTTTATCTAATCACCAGGGACCCTTAGTCTCACAAATTGTCTATAGATAGAAATAGAGATCAAATACTTGTGATTCAAAAGGTTAACATGACTTGCAGGATTATATTTGCACCTATTTATCAAAATCAACCAGAATTCCTTATAAATGAATCAAGTTTGTTGCAAATTTTAAATATGGATTTATATACATATGTTTTGTTATGTCAGCTGATTGTGTGCGAATTTACCCTGGAATGATGAAGTTAGACATTTTCTTAACAATTTAAACTTTTGGAGCAGTCAGTTATGCTTATGGCATTTTCAATGGATGTTTCCTGCACATGCATACACACCTAGAAAATCCCATTTCCAGTGCTTGGTTTAGTTATTTTCTTTTCCATTTTTCGTAATTGTTCTTGGTATGTTTATGATGGAAACCATGGTGTGGATGATGATGCATGCAGGGTACTGATGAGATCCCAGGTTTAATACCACTGGCCATGTCAACAATTCTGTCCTTGTGCCAAAGCACAAGAAGTACCGCTGAGATTTCCTACTATGAAGTCTATATGGACAGGTGTTATGATCTGATGGAAGTCAAAGCACAGGAAATTGCAGTGTTGGAAGACAAAGATGGGCAAATTCATCTCAAGGGACTATCTCGGGTTCCAGTTAATTCCATGTCCGAATTCCGCGAGGTCTTTTCATGTGGAAAGCAGAGGAGAAAGGTTGCGCACACGTGTCTTAACGATGTCTCTAGTAGAAGCCATGGGGTACTTTCAATTACTGTTTCAACTCCTTCTGATGATGGTTCTGGGGTTGATGTTGCAGGGAAGCTGAACCTCATAGATTTAGCAGGTTCTAAATGACTTCTCCAATAACTTTATTTATAATTGTAATTAAATCATATAGTATGAATTTATAGGTTTAAACTTATGTTTCATATTTTCTCAAATATACTTGTGATTTAACCAGGTAATGAAGACAATCGAAGGACTTGTAATGAAGGGATTCGTCTACAAGAAAGTGCAAAAATTAATCAGTCCTTATTTGCATTGTCAAATGTGATTTATGCTCTTAATAACAACAAAACCCGAGTGCCTTATCGTGAAAGCAAACTAACCCGGATATTGCAAGATTCTCTTGGCGGAACTAGTCGTGCTTTGATGGTTGCTTGCTTGGTAAGGAGTTTAGTAACCCCATCATCTCTTTTACGACTTTATTATGATCACCTTACCAGAGATTTACTTTTCATTGTTGTTTGTAGAATCCAGGAGAGTATCAAGAATCGGTGCATACGGTCAGTTTGGCAGCTCGGTCCCGCCACATCTCTAATTTTGTTTCTTCAGCTCAAAAAAATGACACTCCCAAGCTTAAAGTTGATATGGAGGCAAAGCTTTGTGCTTGGCTTGAATCAAAAGGCAAGACAAAAAGTGCCCAAAAAATGGGGGCATTTGGTTCTCCATTTGTAATCAAAACTCCAAGCTCGATGCACTCAGCAAAGAAGCCCAGCGCATACAACAACAGCTCTGCAAAACAGAAGCCTAACACCAATCATTGTGCTTCTAATGTGAAAGAAAGGTTACGATAATGATTTGAACTTTTTGCTGTCACACAGCATTAGCATGCCTCGGCCTCTTGCTTAACTATCTGACTCGTTTGTAGGGGTTCGGCTGTGCCACGCAAAAAATTATTCGGTAATGGAGATCCGGTTTATCCAAACGTGAAGGTAAAACATTTATTTGGTGACATTCTTGTTTGTAGCTTGAAAAACCTAGCACTCACTAATACACAGTAAAGGGATGAAGTAACACTCCTGGCTCTCTGAGTTGTTCCTTAGCATGTTCTCTTCTTAGGTTGTATTTGGATCATGGATTTGTGTAGAGATTCGTAAAGGAGAAGGAAAAGGGAAGGGAAAAGTAACAAACCTCTGCTCAAATCCAAGAACACAGGCTTAATATATTCCTCTTGTACGCATGCTTGACACACAGCAGTACGAGGACACTTTAGGTTAATCAAAGGTTATGAGTGGAAAATTTGGAACCTCAATTGTCTATCATTTTTGTTTAATATTAATATTAGAACAGTTTTTACAGCTGCACAAACATATAACATGGATTTCTACGCAATCCATCCTAATGTTCTTCCATACCATAATAGTTGAGATTTTCAAAAATTTTATTGGTGACATTGTATAGGAGGCTATGTATCTTCGCAAAGTAGAAGAGCATGCTGTTATTTCAGAAGATGGAAGCTCAATAAACGTTTCAGTAGCTCAGTCCAATGTTGCTTTTCAGCTGCATACATCCACTGTAAGTTCCTTACACTCTGAGGAGGGCATTCAGTAATAAAGGGAAACTAGGGGTGGGCGCGGGTCGGTTGCGGCCATAGAATCTCTAATCCGCCATCCGTCCACCAGATTGGCGGATTGAAGAAAATCAATCTGCATCCGTCCGCCAATTCGACGGATGTGAATTGACGGATGGATGCGAATCGGTTTGGCAATTTAAAATTTTATAAATTTTTAACATAATTCAACTTATACACTTCCCAAAAAAAAAAAAAAAGAAGAAAGTATTACGGTCAATAACTTAAAAAAGTATTACAATCACCGCATGTCTCATCCAAAGAAATTTTTTTTGAAACTTTAGAATATTACAATCACTGCATACCTCATCCACATATTACAATTACAACATGCCTCATCCACATAAATGATTACAATATGTGGTTCTTAAAATATAAAAATAATTCAAACCACCAAAACCATGAACAGAGCAGTAGTGGAAATTGTATGCCTCTATATTGTTACATCTATATCTATTTTTAAAATTAAAAATTAAAACTTACTATCATATATCATTTTTTTATTTATTATTTTTAGAGTTAGATTTCAAAACCAAAAAATATAGATAAATAATACATTAAAACTCTTTTTTAACAGAATATATTCAACAGAATATTTAAACTCTTTTTTAATTGAAAACACAAAGTTACAAATTATTAGGGGTGCTCGCGGTTTGGCGGATCGGTTGTGGCCAAATGAACCTCAAATCCGCCATCCGTCTAAAACTAGGCGGATTGAAAAAAATCAATCCACAACCGTTCACTCATCATCATGCATCCGTCCAAAATGCAGCGGATCAGATCGGTTCGGTCCGGTCGGTTTGGGCGGATCGATATATCTGCTGCTCACCCCTGAGTGAAACTATAGGGCAATTTAACGCCATGCATTTACACATTGAAACTTCATCACAGGGTTTAGAGGTTCATACTGAGGACAATGCAGAGACTCCACAGAGTCTAGAAGTTACTACTGAGGAAAATACAGGAGAGGAGACTAAGGTCTCTGCTGAGAAGACCTTGTTTGAATCAACATGTACACCTGGTATCTTGCCGCTAACTTGATCCATTACTTTAAGTTGTTGAACGCTTTAAAAATTATTTCGTTCTTGTGTAGTTATATTGTTGGACAAAGCGGAGAAGATGATAACTATCAATGCTGCCGACTTTGATGGATCCTCACCAATTTGTGAGAAAATTAAAGCACTTCAGAGTTCTCTGAGAAAAGTTCTTTCTCCCATCAAATCCAAGATAAACATTGAGAATATGTCCTCCAGAGATCAAGTATGTGCAGTTCTTCTTGATCCCAAGACTCCCAAAACACCTTTCCTTCTTAGCTGTGCGAGTGAAAAATCACAAAAGATTGGCACTCCACTCGATAAATTTAATGCACTCGGCTCTAATTTAAAGGTATGCAGTGGCATTTGATTTTATGATGTTTCTCTTTTTATCAGCACTTGTGGCTCTATCTCCTAATCTCTGTAACCTGAATTTACAGTGCTCTCTCATCCAAGAATATATTGATTTTCTGAATTCAGCAAGCAGGTAAATTCTGGTTTGCTTTTGTGTCTTCTCTAATTTGTTTTATTGGGAAATGTTTTCTTGATAACATTTTTTGCATTTTTTGCCGTTTGATATGATGGAAAATGAAAGTTAATAAAAAATAAATTTATTTGCGTGGACATTTTTTGAAGGTGGAAAACATTTTTCGGATTAACGTCTTACTAATACAACTACTAGCATATTAGTTTCAAATGTTTTTCATACAGATTTTTTTTTTTTTTTTTTCTGGCTGAAAAGCCATGAAGAACTAACCATTGCCTACTATACCTTTATTTCAGGGAGGAACTTATGGAATTGAAGGTATGTGAAAGAGATCAATCATCTAATTGAATGTCATCATTATCCTGAAACCCATGTTACCAATAGTTTTGCTGATTGATTTTTATCCAGGGAATTGGAGAGAGGATGGCCGAGTACATACTTGAGCTCAGAGAAACGAGTCCACTGAAATCGGTAAGAAATGTATGAATGAGAACTTCAAGCTTCTTCTTAAAAGGAAGCAAGACTGAAATGCATATTCTGAATTTTGTAGTTAAGTGATTTGGAGAAGATAGGCCTCTCGTCCAAGCAGGTTCATAACATGTTCAATAGAACTGCAAGAGGATTATTTGATTGACTACCACACTGTACAACACTCAGTTGCTCAGCACGTGAAACATGTGGTTGATTCAATTTGTTGATTATGGTCTGTTTTATTTTATTTTTTATTATTATTATTTTTTTTATCTCTGTAATATTGTTTTAACATTATGATTATGGTAGAGAACTCATTTGGTGTCAAACAGCATTGAAATTTGTCAATTTTATTTATGATTATTTAGTATTATCTTGATTTGCTTATGCTTTCCCATCAGACTAGATGCAATTCAAATATCATAATGTTAATGTTAATGACGACCCAAAATCTGTTACGTCATCAGAATTTTTTATATAATTTTGTGTCATACAAGCAAAAACACTTTAATATCACAACTTGAGGAGGGTTTTGAATTTGATTCACAGACCATGAGATTAGCCTTTTTCTAGTTGGACTTGGGTTCAGAATGATGGCAAGAAAGAAACCACTACATGCCACTTACCACCAAGTATATCAATACTTCTTAGGACAATGTTAGAGGTCATTAAAAATAATATTTTAAAATAATTATTAATTATGTAATATTCACTTAAAAAAAAAAAAAAACAGAAAGTGAATAGAATTTATTGTGACATCATTAATAGTGACACTAATTAATACCCTCATTTATTTTTTTTACTTTTCTTTATTTTTTCACTTTTCTTACTTTTTAGGTGACGATGACCATGACGATGAAAATGAGAGATAACTGTTACTGTTGATTGGTTTTCTCTATATTTGTTTATATTTTACTGGTCAAACTTACAAATTACCTTCCTATAATTGTTGCATCTTTGTTATTAAAACTAAAGGAGTCTCAAAATATGAAACGTAAAATCATCTTTCAACAATGCTAGTGACATTCCAAAGCTTCTTTTTAACTAAACACGCTTTTAACTTTCGAACTTCTCACCCAAGAGATTGCAAACGTGGCAAAACCTAAATTCAGTGTTGGTACAAGTAACAATCACAATAAATCTGATCCAAAACATTAATTGTTGTAAGAAACAGCAACTGTGATTATAAAATAAAGAGTGCACATAATATCAAACAAGAGAGACCATTTATCAAACACTAAAGACGAGTTTTCATTAAGTCATTCAAACTCAACATACATATTTATCATATATAAACCTCCCATGATAAAAAGAGACTCTCATCAACCTTGACATACTAACCTTTGTGTACAAACAAAACCAAACAAACAACCAAGTAAACCGTGAAACAACCATGGCCACTTTATTTTGAAGGTTACATAATTTAAAGAAGCTTCCATACCCTCAAACGCAGACACTACTGCTAATACTACGTAATTATATATTATATTTCTATATTATGGTTGATGATTTTGATTGGGTCTCATTTGCAGGTGCAAGGGTCACAGGTGCAGTTAGCTCCACACTTGCAACCATTCTCAGCTGCCTCACCCATCTCAGTTCCCTCAAAGAATCTGCATATAATCACAATCACAATCTATATATTAGATTTATTTGGCTTTCATTAACTCTAAAATTATTATGCAAGTTGTTTTAGAAAAAGATTTTATAGATAAAATAAAACACCTATGTTTAGTTTGATTTTTGAAAACTATGTTTGAAATTTTTATTTTTATAGAATTTTATCACCTCATTTTGTATAAAACTTATGTACATAAATTTTATTTATATATCATTACTCAGGTTAAAAATATAAATCACAGGCTTTTGTTTTTTTGAAGTTATAAAATCTAAGAGCTACGCATCATTCTACATTAAAATTTTTAAACATTACAAAAACAAACTCTAAAATTTAACTCTTATAAAAAATAAATTTTAAAATTTGAATTTTATTAATTTAAATCCTTTTTTGTTTAAAAGTTATATCGTTCTACATTTAAATTTAAACAAATTAAAAAAACAAACTTAAGAATTTTGACCCCAAGATAAATTCTAAATTTTAATTTCATCAATTTAAATCTTAATTTTTAATTTTTTTAAAAAAATTTAAACCATCATTTATTTCTTTTACTTAAAATGACTAAAAAATAATATTTCAATCATTTGAGTTTAATCATTAAAATACTACTAGTTTTAATTAAAGAAAATATATAAATGATTTAGATTGAAAACAATCAAAAAAAATTAAAATTAAAAATTAAAATTAAAAACACAATTTATTTTGCTAAAAGGTCAAATTCTAAAATTTTATTTATGTTTTTCCCTTAAAAATTTTATCTGTATAAAACACTCATAGATCAATAAATCGAAACACTACTTCATTAAAAAGAGTGTGGAATAGACCCAGATATGGATAAATTTCAATAATTGTAACGGCTCAGCCTTTGAATTATATTAATATTTTTTTAATAATAAATATTATAAAATCAAATCAATTTTATATAATAAAATAAAATAAAATAAATATTATAAAAGAACTTGTGATATACATATACTTACGTCTTCTTTGGGGCAAGACCAACAATGAGGGTCTCAGTGGTGGTCTTCTCTGAGTAGCTCATGTCTGGGTAATTCTTGCATCTGCCATCCATCATCATCCAAAAAATTTTACCATTTCGTTTAATAACAAATAATAAATGATTAAAAAATATATAAAATATCACAGTAATTGCTAATCCAAAGGATTTATCAGGAGATTCTTTTTTTTTTTTTAAAATAATATGATTAGACTGAAGAAATTGAGCAAGGATCTCTAGAGTTCTAGAGATTTTTTTTTCTAAAATTTCCTAGAGTAGTGTATTATGTGATTAAAATTTAATGACAAGTTACATCAATTTTTCAACATTAAATCTCAACCACATAATATTTCACTTTAAGAAACTTGACAAAAAAAAAAACACTCTAAATGATCCTTGGCAGAAGAAATTAGATCCATTAATAAACTACAGATACACCCTTAAAATTTATTTAAAATACAAATAACCTCATATAATTTTTCAAAGGCTGAGATTTTGAGATTACATCCAACAAAATTTTGAGATTTTTTTAAAAAAATTTGTTTGGCTTAATTACTCTTGAAAATTTATTTGTAGAGAATTTTTCCTAAATTTTTTTCTGAAAAACAAACCAAACAAGGCCTATCTCCAATTTACAGACAAAACAAAAAGTATGAAGGCAAAAGTTTTCTCGAGAAAATTTCTCCAAGGAAAACAAACACAGCTTAAAAAATAAAACAAACAGAAATTTTACCCTCCACAGCCGCTGCCGCAGCTGCAGCCAGTGCCGCATCCACAGTTTCCTCCGCAGCAAGACATTTTCTAGGGCTAGAAAAATGAGAGAAAATCGAAAGCAATGAATGAAAACCGAGAAAAGCTTTCAAGTCTGGACGGATAATAGGCAAGGAACCCGTGACCCATTTATAGCCGGATGGGAGGAGAGAGAATGAGTTATCCACCGTACACGTGTCATGATCTGACGTAATACTAATCCATACGTTAACCGGTGCACTGCTGATCAGCCACGTACCTGTCGCTTTTCTACGGTTCTAATCTGTTCCCCACGAGAAAGCTAGAATGTTCTCGATGTGTATGTCCTCTTTAATCTTCCTTTGTCATCTAGGCCCTTTGATCAAATGAAAATACATCTCCACGGTTGATAATCTATGATCAGGATCAAGGTATAGTCTCAGCCGTCCGATGGTTCTGCATATGAACATAAATTATCCAGTAAAATTATAGCCCCGTTTGGAAACTTTTTTTATTTTTTATTTTTTATGAGGTGAAATAGTTTGTGCGTTTGGGATACTTTTTTTTTAAAAAATTGAATAGATGACTGGTAGAAGAAAAAAAAAAAAGGATCTATTAGTATTTAAGATGTGACATTTCAATTTTTTGGGTGACTTTTTAATTATTTTTGTCAAAAAAAATTTCTCCCCAAAGGAGGCCTTATTGAAGAGGTTTTTTTTTTGAAAGTGTAAATTACAGTCGTGTAATTTTATAAAAATAATTTCAGATAAATGATAGACTTTATTAATATTAATAATTAAAGTTATAAACTTTCTCATAAGTCTGTAACTATTTTATAAATGAGCCGCTGAAATGTTATTTCTCCTTTTATTAATAGGATTTGGCTTTTTTTCATCTATGATTTAGACAAGAAGGTATTGTTCAGGCTTGTAAAACTCATCAAGAATCATATTTTAGTGATTCAAATTATTTATTTTCTCGGGCTATTCGTCTGTATAATTCACACATAAAATTAGATCAATTCGATAATCGTAAATTATTCAAATTATCACATTTGTCTAAAAATAAATAATAAATGTGTTTTTTAAATAAACTAGCAATTATTTTTAGTGACAAAACGATAAAATAAATAAATTATAATTATTAAATTGGCTTAATTTTTTTATTATTGATAATTACATAAATAATCTAACAAAATTAATAATTTAAATTGTTGAAACAAAACTCATAAAAAATAGAAGGTAGCGTTTGGTAGAGTTTTGTAAATGTGATTTGAGAGTATGAGATGTATTTTGAGTTTGTGTGTTGTGGAGTTATGATTTGAGTGTAGAAAATTTGTTTGGTAAAGAGTTTTGAAAATAGTTTTGGAAAAGAGGTTTGATTTGAGTGGGGAATTATTGATGTGACATTTGATATGTGATACAAAAATTTACAACTCATAACTAAACATACAATTCAAAATTATTTTAAAGCACATAAAAAATTTAAAAATTTTCAGAAAATATTTGTCCCGATTATGTAAATCAATTGCAAAAAAAAAAAAAAATCTGGAAATCAGCCGGACATCCGGGGGGACATCCGGGGGGTCTACCGGGTGGACAAAAAAGGCGCCTGTGCATCAGAGTTCTCTCTGCAGAGTGTAGAAACCGGCCGGACGTCCCCTTAGCAAAAATTTTGAAAAAAAAAACAGAGCAAAAGAGCGGCTGAGACAGATTTGGTACAGAGCTCTCAGCAGAGCTTTTGAAACGTGATTACAAAATCCTAAACAAACATCATACTGAAACACAGGTGTAGAATCACGTTTCAAAAGCACAACCAAACACAGCCGAAGTCTCTGCGCACCTGAATAGCAAAGGACGCCGACGGGATGAAATTAATGTCACGTGACAACAAAATTTATAGGATATTGAAATGATATATATGTGTTTTAAAAAGTTGATAAAAAAATTATTTTTTAATTTTTTGACTTTTTTGATAAAAAAATTGGCATTTTTAGGTTAAAAAAACTGAATTTTTTAACTAAAAAAAATAAAAAGTCTGATTTTTTTAAGGGAGATCTCAAATGTTAAACTTATGAACCAATTGGTCCTAATTTTTTTCTAATAAACCGTTTAGTCCTTAGATATTTCGAGGGACCTTAATGCCCTCATTTAGATGTTATTAGATGCATACTCTTTATGAGGGTGTGTCACGTGATACACACAATGGGTGCTACACATCAACAAAGTACACGATGGCTCTTTATGCTTTTTGCCTTTGAGTGTCATGTGACACACACAATATGTGTCACACATCAACAAAGTATACTAAGGCTCTTTATGCTTTTTGCCTTGGAGTATCACGTGACACACATAATGGGTACCACACATCAACAAAGTACACTAAGACTCTTTATGCTTTTTTTCTTGGAATGATGTATGTCACGTGACACACACACGGAAGGGTATAATTGACCACTCAATGTTACTAAACAAAGGAAATAGGATCAACTGGTAAGATATTTCCCCACTAATAGGACTAATCAGAACAATAGAAATAACCTTAGGACCAATCGGTAAAACTGTTTGTGAGATAGAATTTATTGGTAAATATCCATTTTCGCAAAAAGGTGTATATAATATCTTTCATAATTATTTATTTGTGGGACGACCATAATACATAAGGGCATTTTGAAAAGTTGGTAAAAAATTATTTTTTTGATTATTGTAGCTTATTTATTTTTTTGTAAGTAAATTATGTGAGAGGTGATGTGACTTAAAATTGATAAAAAGTTAGAAGGTGATTTTTTACCAGCTTCCTGGATTACATAACAATTTTAACATAAAAAGTTAGGAAAGTTATTTATCTATAAAATTTTTAAACATATTTTAATTATAAAATGTTGAAGCTAAGAGTATCAGCATTAGTATCTTCAAAATAATAAAAAATTAAAATATAATTAATAAATCATCAAATTCTCCATTTATCAGTCTTAACAAATTTTTTCTATATTAACTTTTTGTTAAATTTGATACAGTAACTCCTTTGATGAAGCGAGCAACTGTTCATCACTAAAACACACGATTTGGGTTCGGCCGGTCAACCGGTCAACGGCATTTTTTTGTTTTTTTACATTTCCTCCAGTGTTATCTTTCGTAAAAGAAAAGAATTGCTTGGTTGATAGCTCATCAATTTAATTATATAAAAAAAACAATAACAAATATTTTAATATGATTAAGTTAAAATAGAAAGTTTGATGTAGTGGGTGACTAACTAAAATAAAAAATAAACAAATAACTTTTTAAGTTATAATTTAACTAAAATTTTGAAGAGGTTGATATTGATGCTCTAAATATGAGCCAATCTAGTAGTAAATAAATTTATTTATGCATATGCTGATAAGGGAGTCTTAGGCCCTGTTTGGTACAGCTTAATTTCAGCTTATTTAAGCTTTCAGCTTAATTTAAGCTATTTTGATGTGTTTGGTTTAGCTTATAGCTTTGTGGAAGTCAGAAAACAGCTTATTCTTTGAGTGGGGCAGGAGATGCTTTAAGAATAAGCTGGAAATCAGCTTAAGCTGAAAGTTATAAGCTATAAGCTGTTTAGGCATAAGCTATAAGCACTTTCCCACAGCTCTACCAAACAGGGCCAATATGGCTTATAGCTTTTTGTAAGTCAAAAACTAACTTATTCTTTGAGTGGGGGAGGAGAAGCTTAATTTATAAGTAAAAAAACAGCTTATGTTCACAGGTAGAAGTTATAAGCTGTTAGGTTATAAGTTATAATCACTTTCCCATAGCTCTACCAAACGGGGCCTATGTAAGAGTAATCTTTATGCACACATGTAGTCCCACTTGAATGACAATGAAGTACCATATTCTAGGAGGGACATATACTTTGATAAAAGAGCATTGTGTATGTATGATTAGCATCTCCAACGGTAGTAGGCATTTTACCTATCTAAATATTACTATAAAGTATATATTTTATTTTGCCTATCAACTATTTTATGTTTTTACTCCAACCATGCTCTTTATTTTAGCTATTTATCCAAATACTATTAATTTTATAGAATGCCACGTCAATAACATAGATGGAGGGAAATGATCATAATGATTGAATACATTTTGCTTAGCGTTGAAGGCTAGCTACATGTAACTAGTGAATATGAGTTGAGCCAAAATGCCTAATCATATGCCTAGTACATTGGAATTGAAAAAAGTGAATCACACTAGATATTTTAACTAACAAGTATTATATGCCTAGTGCATTGGAGATGCTCCCATACCTCCAGATCCTATATTTATGTCGGGATATCTCTCAATTAGTCTTTGTTCCTCTTTCTTGTGCAGCCAAATGTCAAAATATTTGGGTCCCACGATTTAGATGTTATGTTTCTAATTTTTTTATAAAAATGCTTGCAACTTCAAAGTTCGGGATCCATGAACCCTAAAATAATGTGAATTAATTATATCTTTTTAAATATTATTTTTTTTCTGGATTAATTATAGGTGAGCGAAAATTATGGAAGTTGTATTTTTTAAGAGTTATTGTTGTTTTGTTATCATACATGAAATATTAACAGGGAAAAAAAAGGAAAATTAAAAAAAATAAAAATGATCAAACTGTAAACTGTTCCAATGTTATGTCTTGATCCAATTTTTTAGAGGATGGATTGATTCTAATTTTAAAAAATTAAGAATAGTCGATTATGATTGGGTTCACATATCAAAAGAATTGATAAAATTGTGTGAATCTAACTCTTTTAAATTATTATTTTTTAATTTTTAAAGGTTCGGATTCTGAGCCCATTTTGAGAGTAATCTTAGCCTCCGTTTGCGAAGTGGGTTAGTATTTTAACTTTTTTTTGCTATTTTAGCCTGGGTTAAAACGGTTGATTTGGGAAGGGTTTTTTGACTTTTTGGGCTTTTTTTGTCAGAGAATAGTGTAATGATTATGGGTTAAATGTGATGTTTTGTTTGTTGTGGCTAAAATAGTCTATTTTGTCTTTTGTGGCTAAAATAGCCAAAAAAACTCTTGCCAAACGGAGCCTTCCAACCTTTATTTTTTAAAAATCATTAAATAGAATATTTATTTAAAAAATTAAAATAATCAGCTAGTAGCTATATATTTTTAAGAATATACGACAAATATAATTTAAAAAATAACTATTCATTTTTTATAATGTAAATATAATTAAAATATATAACTACTGATATTTGATTATTTTTATTTTTTTATATAAATATTTTACTTAACAAATTTTAA